GTCAGATGTCATGCATAATAACCTTATCACATGACTAATTGGCTGCTGATAGGGGGCATACATGTTTTACAAACACATCTTGTTTTCTTAGAATTTCATTCATGTTTGGAAGAATTTTCTTTCGGTGTATTTTTAATTAGCATAATCCCTTACTAATATGTTTGATAAGACCGCAGTCTGGAATGGAAGCCCAAGTCGTATTCTTGCGAAGACCAGGCGAGTACTGCATGCACTGGTATACAAAATTAAAGTTGTAATATAAAAAAACTGGGGAAAATGAGAAAAAACGGTCTTATACTTAAGATGAACTATTCTCTCACTGAAAGTAATATTTTGGGAATGAAAGATGCAGAAGTTGACTTTGATTCGATATGCACCAATAATAAAATCGTCGTATATATCCCATGACGCAGAATTGTTAGAATAATGCAGGATTGTGCAAAATCAGACAAAAATGTGGAAATAAATGTCGAAAACTAGTATCTTATGAAGCTATATAGTTCGGCAAATGTGTTAGGTATACGAAAAGCAAACAATAAAGAAAGGCTAAATGTGCGTTTTTGTACTCGAGAATATCGCGAAACACAAACTTCAACGCCAGTATACGTAGCCAGTTCGTTTGTGTCACAAATAATCTGGAATATATGTTTTGAGGGTCCTTACAGCCGTATGCGCTAATTCATTTCTATTAATTTGGTGAAATATATATATTTAGACTCTTTTTCCTATTTGAAGTGGTCGTTACCTCCCCTCCCCCTTTAAATTTGCACAATTCAGCGTTATTTTCTTACGGGATATCTGTTAACGGTGAATATTGTGTAATGCACGAATTTCTCGACTTCACATATTTTCTACTGTATAGAGAACAATAGAACAATAACAGGTCGGTATATATTTGCAGACCTGTTAAGCGGTCGGTAAGTGATTTACTAGACCGCTTTTAACAAAAGAGCCGGTAGCTAAATTTGTATATCGTCGTTTGAATAGAATTAAGTGTGAACAGTTTTTTGTCAATATTATCAAGCCTTTGTAATAACGAGGAAAACTGATCACTAGTCACCGTATTTGTTGATATTTGTTGAGGCAATGTTATATAATTTGGCACATAGGAACTCTGGAACAGGACCGCATATTGCGGCGCATAAATCCGAATCCGTACCGGCTTTACATATTGTTTGTCCGACCTTTGAATATCTTTTCATATTATGCGAGCGGGTGGTCTTTAATGATCTAATCTCAATTAAATGTAGCAGAAACGTATTTAAAGACCGTTACAAGATCGAAAATATACGCCGCAATCTGCGGTCCCGTTCTCGAGTTCCTATGATTTGGCATACCTGGTGTGGCCTGATTCAAGGCTTGAATAAAGGACATCTGCTGAGACTGTGATATAACATGTTGACTTAACACGAGTTCTTATGATCAATTGTCAAGAGTTCTTGTGATAACTGTCACGGAGTTCTTCGGAAAACATTTTCAACTACAAAAACACTCGTCATTTCTTTAAAAAGTGAGTTTTAGGTGCTAAATTAAATTTTAATGATTAACCTTGTATTGCATCTTGTATAATGTGTCGAAAACTAATTCATAGGTCATTTTTCATCGCCTCATGTTTAAATTCTGGAGTTTTGAATTAAATTTCAAAACTATTTGCCAATTGACTTTAAAGAGGAAACAAATCAGTATTGTATTTCCACATTCTGAAAATCGAATACTTTTAAACTTTATAGAAAACATTAAAGGTAAATAAAACCTTCTGGATAACTCGTTCCGGACATTAAAACTATTGTTTACTTTCGTCACCTGTACATTTAACATATCATGGAAGTTACTAGAGTAAATTTTATCACTACATGTATATTATTCAGAGAAAAAATGCCTTGCAAATGTAAAAAAGAAAATGCTGAGACAAAAAATATTATAACATGTGTTAAACAGTTCAATATATAAGTTTTTTAAAAATGTAGTATCATATATTAAACAGATGGTTTATGCAATTATATAGTGGCTGATTTGTACCATTCGTATTTCGCACCGCGACCCCGCCAAGCGAAAAGTAGAAAATTAAGAAGTAAGAATGGCGGGGGCGCGGAGCGAAAACAAGCTAATAAGCGAGGGCGCGGAGCGAAGTTCAATAAATAAACTTCGTCCCGCGGGGGCGAGGAGCAAGATTTAAGAAATAAAACGCCGGAGTCGCGGGACGAAATCACACAAAAGGTATTTAATGTAAAGTAAATGGCTACTTACCTGAATTAAAAAGGTACAATGATCAAAACACCGACCGACATTTTGTGTCCGCATCATCAACTTTGGTTTCCCAATATTAGTCATCGTTGTGGTTGTGAAACGTTAAAGCAGCTCGCCTCCAGATTAATGCTTATTTTCATGAAAAACTTGAAAAAAGTAATTAAAAGAATAATATTGTATATTAAACAAAAGGAAGCAATCTACACATTATCACACATAATGAAAAATTAACCATTAATTGCTTATGACATGTGAAATATTGCTCGAATCTTTCTACTTTTCCTAAACTCTCAGGTTATTTTACGCAAGTGTGTATTTATTGAAATATTTTTGTTCAATTGGAAGCATGCTGCTTTAAGCTATTATTATGGAAAATAAATTTATATTCATTGTTTACACGGCATACAGCTCTCAATAAATATACCTCGCCGATTTTTTTACGATCAAGCTTCCAAATTTATACAATTTTTTGTGCATATATCAACACTTTTTGTATCAAACAGTTAACTGCGTCAATAAAAAAATGATTTTATATTGCTATTTAATAAGCACATACACGGCACCCGGCGCACGGTAGAAAAGCGCAGATAGTCATCTTATAGTTTTTGCTAAAAAAACTACTTATTAACATAGAAAACACGCTTAACATCGCATATTTCTTTATGATGTCATTTACGTAATTCATTAAAATTATGGACGGCATTTCCGTTAATTTTTGTTGATATCACCAGAAACGCTAGACGACGACATTGTTTACAACGGGAAAATGACGGACACGCAGAAATTAGAAAATAGCGTGATCATAAAATTTTGTTTTAATTTGGTAATGACACCAAAAAACATTTAAAAAAAAGAGGCGAACAGAGAAAATAAAATTTTACTATCATTAGTCTTTAAGAGGCATAAAAATGTAGTGATGGACATTACTTTGTAAAGCAGTAATGGTTATTGACTGCGTAACGTTGATACATACGTTGTACGTTAAATATTATGACGTTGACGTCAGTAACTTTTTGGAGTGCGTCGCTTTCGCTGGCATGTGGCATTAAATATTGTTGTAATATAAGAAGCTACTAAAATGTATTTTTCTGTGTTTATTTGTTATTTATTCTTGAGCAGTGTACGAATTTCAAATCAATTTTTCAACATATATTTTACGCAATAACGAAAGTCCACAAATTTTTGGATAACCCCTCGTACATGCACGTTTTATTTTTTTTAAACATCATCATTATCACTATTCTGCTCCTCATCATCATCGTCTCAGTCGTTATCATAAAAAAATACAGCATAATCATCTGTAGATCATCATTATGACAACCATCACCAGTAAATCACCATAATCAGTAAATTATCATCATAATCATCATAAATAGTACATTATCACCATAATCAATTCGAATTATAGTCAATATATTTTTCGATGTAATTCTGTAAAATATATAAATGATGAAATTAAAAGTGTTTCTGTGACTTTTTTAAACTTAAAAATTCAACAATGCGTTTATATGCTAGCATAATAATAGAATGAAACACAACACAAATCACCTTAAGTCGATGCTCATACTTGATATTTTACAACAATTTCAACTAGAACCCCTTTGTTTATGCGGAATAAAAAGAACATTGTTGGCTCAGTATTGGTAATATTCAAATGACTGTCCTCAACAAAGACACCGCAATTACAAGCGTTATGTATTTTGTCATTAAATTGAAATAACTTTTAAAATTTAATTGCACATGAAGAGAATGTATAGTATAGGTCTGATCTGTCGTATCGAATCTAACTAATACATGTATATAGTAAGAAATTTATATCGACTTATATTGAAGTGTTCTAATGGGCAATCAACACACATTGCAATGGATTTGAAACTTTCGGTTTGGAATAAACAGTTTGTTTAAAATAGCAGTATTATAAATCTGATTTTCACACAATTAAATGCTCAAATGCTCTATTATATGCATACTAATATAAAATGGTACCACTACTAGTATTCTTATACGTGTAAATCATTAAAAGAGATGTTTGTGCCACTGTGCAATGAAGTATCCCTTTATACATACGTACTTATTACATCACTCAGTTATAAATAAGAAAGGAAAGAGTAGTGTATATTTATGTCACAGGGTCAAGTATACATTGTCCGTATTACCAAGTGTTGTATATTTTAATCTGTTCGTGTCCATGCCTGTCTCTGCATATTTATATGTTAATGTTAATGTCCCTTATTGTTTTCCGTAGTTATTTCTTTAATTCATATACTCATAGCTCATATCCAATAGCCGTTACCTATCCATTATCGTACTTTATAACCTTTTCAATATCTTCGATTAACTTTTCTCGCTAATATTTCAATTTCCCCGCTAATCTGCACAACGCATGCGCACTTGAATTGAGAAATTGTTGGCGCAGGCCTTGGTTTTGTTGTAGGGAAGAATAAATATTTTGAGAAGCGCATACTTGTCTTTTTACAGACCCCTCTACCCCAGGTCCAGAACTCACAGCAGAGTCAGCTCAGAGTTTAATTCACATTGCTCTGTAACTCTGTGAAATTCGAGGACGAATTTCAATATAGCAGGGGAGTATGTCACGGTTCAGAACTGTTCACTATATAGGGGAGAAGATTTGTAAGGGGCCGGATAGCTCAGTCGGTAGAGCCGCGGTACGGTATTCCGAGGGTCCCGGGTTCGAGTCCCGGTCAGGCTGCACATTTGTCTCACCCTGTGACATTTAAAAACCAAATAACGTATATTTTGTGTTCATTTCTTTAATATTGAAATTAGTGCATCATAATCATAAACAGAACACTTGTATATACAATTATCATATATGAAAGTAAGTAGTGCATAATAAAAGTTTTAGAAAATTAATATCTGGAGTTGTTATGAATCCTTTTCCTTGATTGATAAATATGTATAGATATATTTACGATACATATGTCGTACATACTTTTATACTGTAAAATTATATTTCAGAGTTTACATATATACCATTGAACACATGTGCATTATACAAACAGAATCTTATAATTACATAATGTTATAGTTTTTAACATGCTTTTTGTACAACCTTTATGATGAAAGCAGAAGACATGTTGAGATTATTAAACAATAGAAATTAATGGCATATTCTTCATAAATAAAATATGCAATTTTTACAAAGTGTACATGGTGAGCACGTATTTCTCTGTCTAAAACTATCTATAAACGAATTATCAAATCATTCTTTCCAAAATAAAATATATAAAAATCCATTTACATGTTATAAAACCAAACTCCGACTCAATTACATGTACAACATGAAAAGCAATGGGTGAAATAATAATATAAATGATATGGTCTACTTCGTCGCTATGTTTAAATTAAATCTAAAATGTTTGTAAACATTTTCATATTTCTTCGGTTACTGCAGCCGTTAAGTCAGGTGAAATAATGTTGTGGATTATATGCCTCGTCTGATTTTGAAGGAAAGCACTTGAATAATAAAGATTATATTTTTTTGTAATATCATACTCCTCGAACCATTGCAATTGAACTTCAAATTGAACTTGAATCAAGTTCAAAAGTGTTACTTCCAGAGTCGGTCCTTTTTCTCCTGAAAAAGTACACAATTCCTGCAGTTACCATGACAAGAAGAATGATGATTCCCCCAATAGTCAAGGGTATAAACAACGGAAATGTATCATCAGTATCATCGTAAGCTTCCAATGATGTAGTTGTGTTTTCCTTTTGCACATCTGTTAAATTGCTCGGGTCAGAGGGCTTTGTTGACATCGGGGTTTCTGTCGTGAGAGGACTTGTTCTTCTCGTGGAATTGCCATCAATGCCCTCCTCTGTAATACTTATATGGATATTTATAGATGAAGATCTGGTTGGTATACCATCATCTTTTACGACCAACTCCACAACAAAAGTTCCAGTTGATATAATTCTGGCATTTAGTACTACTGCTACAGAGTCCAGGGTGATCTGTTGAATTGCGAACAGGTTGTCACTATTGTTCTTTAATTCAAACATAACATTATCATCATCATTATCATAGGCGGTAACATGTACTATGTTAGACCCCACCTTTATTGCATTTGTCATGTTCACATTGTATGATGATGCACTGATATGCGGAGCGTTATTATTTTTCGGACCATATGTCAATAAATAAATAATTTCTTTTCCATTCAGATCTTCGTCTTCATTTTCTGATTGCACAAAATCAAACAAATGAAGAAAAAACTTGTCAAAAATATGTGTTGTCTGCCATACATTTTTTTCTAGTAATATAATTCTCCCAGACTGGGTAACGACATTGAGCAATTCTTCACTGGTACTAAGTTGTCTAGTAAATGTATTTTCTATTCGTGCATAGAACCACATAACCTCTTTTACACTTACGGTTAGATTAACTTGTTTGTAAACTTTCATTGATGGATTTGTATATGTTTTCCATTTAATATCGGTCACATTTGCTTTTGAAACTTGTGATACTGAAGAACCATTTGCACTGTCGTATAGCATATCAGGAAAACTATCTTGGTCCGGGAAACTATTTACAAGAAAATCATCTAAACCATCGTCCGCATCAGAAAACTGTATCCTAACTAAATGCACGAGATCATGGTATTCTAATCTATCAATCAATGACAATTGCGGATCTCCCAGAGGATTTATATTTTCAAAAGTTGCACTGTAGTTAAAGAATTTTCCCATAAGTGATGACGTCATGAGCCATCTTGCAGTTTTAGTCTCAAGAGAGTGAATGTCACCAAAGTCGACACTAAGAGATGGCGTTATGGCCTGATTTCCGAGCTGAGCTGCAATTATTCTAAATGACACCAGGAGACCTTTCTCGTTCTCAATTATTTCTGGTTGCCCAGAAGTTAATTTTAAGGCTTTTGCTACACCGTATCCCGAATTCATAACCATTACAGCGAGTGTAAATGGGACAATCGGCTCAATTTCTGGTGTGAGAGCGTCATCTCCACGTACAAACTTTTCATGGAAGTAATGAACGACAAGACTTGGATTCGGTGAAACAGTTATTGTGTCAGGAAGAAGAGACACAGAAAGTTCAGTCCCATCTACAGAATACGATAACTGACCACCAATGTCGTACTCCGTGTCATCCTCGGGGGCAGCGGTACTGTACGGAACGATTAACCATTCGGCAGAGCCAGACAAACCAAGTCCTAGCCTTCCTTCTCCACCAATGCCGCTTATTCCAATCAAGGTTAATTTACCTATAACAAAAAGTTTTTTTTACGATAAAATAGCAGAACATATATCGCATGTAACTTTTTCATTGTGAATTAAATAGCCAGCTGAATGCAAATACAAATCTTGCTATCTTGCTATGATCGGAATGTTGTATCTTTAAACGGTTAATTTGAACCATTTTTAAAGAAATTCTTTCCTGTATTTGTCACATTATATATTCCTCTTAATAAATCTCAAGCAGGGCATCTAATATATACATAGGTAATCCACGTAATTTGCCATAATATTTGTTATTATTACCCCTCACTTTTTTCGTAATGCTAATTTCCCATAAGGCCTCTGGTAGTTATTTTTACTGTTAATGCAAGTGTACCACGTGACTAAGAATTTCATACTGTTACATAGGTAACAGTATTTTTTAACAGTATAAAATCTGGTCACGTGGTCTATTTTCTAAATAAAATGAAATAAAATGGCCGCCATTTTTTCTCGATTCATTCTGATTTCCGATGTTAAAACCAGATAGGACATCAAATTCTTCTCTGGAGTAACTATGACACTCATAAAATTTAGTTGTTTGCACCCTGGTGTGCTTTTCGCGTATAAAATATCTTTTTATTGAATAGTCAAAAGTAAACATCCGTTTTCAAAGGAAGTAATTGCAATGTAAATAATTATGTGTCAAACTGGAACATGCAGACGATTTAAGCATGCAACAAAGAATTATTTTACAATTTTAATCAGTTATGGTGGACAGACATAGGATATCATCGTTATTTTGTCAAAAACCATGCTAAGAATATTCTGGAAACAGAAGGATCAGATTTCACAGATCATAATCGTGTAAATGGGTTAGTGTTTTGTTTTCTAAATAAAACCTAGCTTATTGTTTGTTTATGCTTTGTAGATATCATCACTTGCTTAAAGAATAAAAGAAAAAGAAAACTTCTCAAGTAGGCCTAAAGTACACTTAAAACTTAAAAATCAAGGACAGTTTAGTTATTGTTACTCTTGGTTTATTTTTGTTACAGTTAGATTTAGTTGACAATTTCAGTATTTTTGCTCGGGGTAATAAAATAAATAACACATGGGTTTGTGAGTAACAGTAAAAATTTCATCCCTCGAGAAAATACTGTTACCCTCGGCGTAGTATTTTCCTCGGGATGATATTTTTACTGTTACCCACAAACCCATGTGTTATTTATATACTATTACTAGTTTTTGATAAAGAAGAATAGAGTACTATGGGCCTTTATAATATAGACAATGATTTGGTCGGAAACGATGGCTGCTTAACAAACAAGTATATAGGAATAGAGTGAATTGTAGGCGATAAAGTTTCATAAAAATACCATGATCCATTATGTAGAATGTATATTATTAGGATAGGCAAACTATATGTGAAATTTCAATTATTAATTTGTTATCATGAATAATTGAATGCATTGTTAAATTGAAGTATTCAGGATAAACATAAAATAATCAGTAACATGAAATGTTTGGTGCAATTTTGCGTGTTGCTTTGCAACGTCTTAATTGATGTAAAGGATATACATGTTCATTTAAAAGAAAATAATTTCGTAAAATAATGACTGAACCGAAACATCCTTCTGGTATAAATCTTATCTTTGTAGTGAAGCCTTAAAAGAAAATTAAATTCACAAGCCAGTAGATAATGAGAAACTGACCGGACAATATTTTGTTTCTACAAGTGGGTGCGCATGTGGCTACTGTAGTGTTCTCTTCACTACACTTTTCCTTTTAGTCCACTAAAATATTTTAAATTTGTTTCATAGATATGAATTGACCTATTTGTCTATTTCTGAGTTATTGATTATTTCTTTGAGTTACTTTGATCTTTTTAACTCTTTTTTTACCCCATAATCAATGTCCCCCCACAAGTACAGTCTTTACGTTTATAACACTGACATTCATCAAATAATGTACCCGGAGTGCATGCGAACAGACAAAAGGACAATGAATCGATTATTGCATCCCAGTTGGAGAGCATGAAATATTGTATATAAGTTACATAAGTTATCATGATATTATTCATAAAGCATTCAAGTTCTCAAAATATGAATAAATATCGTAGAACATGAAAAACTTGTGATGTATTTTGAATGTAAAAAATTAATTTTGATTTAGTTCTAAGTACTGCATTATAATAATCTGGAAAAAGGGTCATCGCTAAGAAGGATATAATTTGCAGACTCGGTTTGAGTTTGTACTTGAGGATAATGAAAAAATGCATTATCCCTCACGCCCCCTAGCACCGGCTCATTTTTCAACACTTAATACACTTTAATCAACGATCCCGAAAACCCGGAAAATATATCAACACTGAACTGAAGTACTGCCACACGGCACTTGACACCACCTGCTATTGTGAAGTATAAATATCTGGAAAAAGAGTGACCTTTTGGAAGCATTAAAATTAACAGAATTACATGAAAATTGTGAACTCAGTTTGACTGAGGCTGTACATTTGAAGGATAAAGTAAAATTGCAACATCCCTCACGCATAGATAACAGTTTAAAAAAGCTTCATTTAAAATACTGATAATACTGTCATTTTTTTGAACATTTGAAATATAAACGGCAAAATGTCCCATTCCTTAGTGCCCGAAAGTTAACTTTTGCAAAGCAGAAAAGGAAAAAAAATGTAAAAATGCGTGGCACATTTTTATCTGCCCTTAATAGTTAACACAAATTTACAATGTCTGAAGTGTATACCTTTGATATTTTTTAGAAAAGTTCATTATTCTAGATAAAAAAGGGAAATAATTAAAAGCACAAATGATTGTCAGGAATATCGGCTCCTAAGAAATGCATTTCAAATTAAATTTAGTAAATTAACAATTATTCCAAGTTGAAAGTGAGTATCTTTGATATTGATAGTCTAGAGCAAAAAACAATTTAGCAAAAAAGTAGAAAGCCTTACCAAAATGAATTTCAGGATTAGCTGTCCGTTTTATATGGTGCCATAGTTCGATAGGGACCATGTATACTAAATAAATAATGAAAAATGTACTAAAACGCCAAAGTAAAAATTGAGTCTAACTTTTCAAAAATTAATTCAAGGATTATCAGCCCTCTTTAATACTTATTGACATGTATACCGAACATTGAAGTGCACGGCTTGTTAATACCAATTCACGACAACATTGACCTGAACAAAATGGTAAATCAACGCCGACGCCAGTGAGAGTTTCGTGAATATTGCTTCACTTCTTTCTCCATTTTTATCTTCGAACAGTGGAGCTATTGGAAATCAATGAAAATGAAAATTACCAATAGAAAACTTTTCGTTCTGTAGTTCTTCTGACCCAAACGGTTGTGTTATTTTAATTTCAACTTTAATATTCTCAAGGTCAAATTTCTCCCCATTTTCTATTTCTAATTTTGCCTTGAAAGCGTCTCTTGTAAGAACGAGTTCTTGCTCAATCCTTATCCGCACTCTTGCACAAACACCTTCTTTCTTTCTAGCTTCACTGCTGCTCTGTTAAATTAAGGTTCACATTTTTTTAAAAAATCAGTTTTCCTTTTGCCTTCACACAAAAACTCAAATAAATTAAATTACATTATGATTTAACAATTCTATCCATTTTTAAAGGCATGGTTTGCATATAAATGTGTGCACATTTTCTATTCTATCACAGTAACAAAACTTCAAGTTTATGCTATCTTTATGGAATGTTCCACGCGGCGACAATAAATGTCTTTCATGCTGAGAAATCTTTATAAACTCATTTAAATGTAGCACTTGAAAAAAGACTTTCTAAAAGCCACGTTTTTACACTGTAAATACAGGAGAAAATGTTACCTCTTGTTCCTTTGCTTCACGATAGCTTTTCACCAATTGTCCATATTCATCAAAAACGGAGTCATATCCAAGAGCTTTAGATTTATCATTATCGTAATGAAATTGATCAATACCGGCTTGTAAACGTCTAAAGCTGATCACTTGACCACTGTCCTCGAGTTGTGACAAAGTCCCGTTTTCCCAAGCAGCCACTGTATAATTGCATTAAAAAATAGAATTTTCAAAAAAGGTTTGCAATGCAAATGCATTCAAATTATTTTTAGCAATGATTGATGCAAGCTTTGATAAAGAAACGCTTTTTTTCAAAATAAATGAAATACCTAAAATAATTACACATATCAATTGTGAAACATATAAGTACAAGCAAATTCGTTGAATTTATATCCCCCGCCGAGTACTGGTTATTATTAACACAACAACTGAAGACATAAGGCTTTATTTATATATTAATCATGGCATAAACAGTAATATTCTTTGAACTTGATAAATATTCAGGACAATAACAGAGCCAAAACATTGTGTTAAATAGTAAAAAATCTGGAAATGCCAGTGAGATGTATGCATACTACATAACTAATCAAGGGCCATAAATCTGAGTTATAAGTATCTGACTGAAACAAGGCGACTATATGCATATCTCCTCTTAGTATCACATAAAGTTTCATTGAATTCCAGCCAGTAGTAGCAGAGAAGTAGCGAGGAAACAAATATGTTTCTATATAGATACTGCATAACTAATCAAGGGCCATAACTCTGAGTTAAAGTGTCTGACCCGAACAAGCCGACGGTATGCGCATCTCCTCTTGGTATTGAAGGTTCCCATAAAGTTTCGTTGAATTCCAGCCAGTAGTTGCAGAGAAGTAGTGCGGAAACGATTTTTGCTCTATATGCATACTACATAACTAATCAAGGGCCATAACTCTGAGTTAAAGGGTCTGACCGAAACAAGCCGACGATATGCGCATCTCCTCTTGATATTGATGATTCCCCTAAAAGTTCGTTGAATTCCTGCCAGTAGTTGCAGAGAACTACTCCGGAAACGATTTTTACTCCATATGCATATTTCATAACTAATCAAGGGCCATAACTCTGAGTTAAAGTGTCTGACCCGAACAAGCCGACAATATGCGCATCTCCTCTTGGTATTGAAGGTTCCCATAAAGTTTCGTTGAATTCCAGACAGTAGTTGCAGAGAAGTAGCGCGAAAACGATTTTTACTCCATATGCATACTGCATAACTAATCAAGGGCCATAACTCTGAGTTAAAGTGTCTGACCGGAACAAGCCGACGATATGCGCATCTCCTCTTGATATTGATGATTCCCATAAAGTTTCGTTGATTTCCAGCCAGTAGTTGCAGAGAACTACTCCGGAAACGATATTTACTCTATATGCATACTACATAAGTAATCAAGAGCCATAACTCTGAGTTAAAAGGTCGGACCGGAACAAGCCGACGATATGCGCATCTCCTCTTGATATTGATGATTCCCATAAAGTTTCGTTGCATTCCAGCCAGTAGTTGCAGAGAACTACTCCGGAAACGAAATTCGGACGGACGGATGGACGGACGGACGGACGGAAAGACGGACGGACGGACAACGCCAAAACTATATCCCCCTCCCGATTCCATCGGCGGGGGATAATAACAAGCGACAAGTGTTTTAACAAAACTTTTAGCACACATAAGTATCCCTATATTACTTGCTTATGAGAAAGGCCATAATTTCCCAAATCTTAAATCACCACAAGCAGAGTTTAAGTTTCACTTAAGTACTTGCTATACATTTATTTTGAGTTATGCACATTATACAAAACATTATAAGTATAAGAATACCAAGGACGGTAACTCCTAAATACCAGTAGGCGATAGAGAGTTTCTGTTATTCATGAGATCTACATATTTGTGAATTTTTAAATCTATACATTTGATATCTATATTATGCCCTGCAAAATAAAATACGTATAAGAATAACTTTGAAAAGGGCAAAACCTTTAAGATACACCCTTTAAGAATAGCCATCTTCCCCTTAAGTATTTTTTCGTTTTTTCTCAATGAGATGAAACCACACAACGAAGTTTAGAATTTCTAACTATATTAATGAAGTTTTTTTCTGATGGACGGACACAGAATGACGGACAGACGAACCATGCTGACCAGCGTTTGGCCAAACGACCCCCGTCCAAGACATAACAAGATAATCTGTGCAAATTTTATGTCGGATTAATTGAGATGCTATATTTCATGTGTATGCGGTTTTGATTATATCGTGAATTTCATGCAATTACTGTCTTCTATTATTATATACGAATCGAAGTGTTAGAAGCAGTTTCCTTCAATTAAATAAATAGACTTTAAGTAAGGGAAATAATTATCATACCTGTGTTGTTAAAGCGTTGAATGAATCTGCTCACATTGCCTTTCTTTTCAATTTCGGAGAGGTTATCTATGATAGCAGAATACTCTGTTTCTGATATCATTGCTCCGAGCTGTGTATCATCAGCAGCACCTCTCTTAAATTCGGTATACCATGTATCTTCTAATGTTCTTCAAAATAAAAAAAAAGTTTTATTTCGTATATTAATTCTAATTTCTTAGATCAGTTAATTATAATTTGTAAAATTATTAACACTAACAAACAAAACGTTTGATTATCATCATTAACAAACAAGAAAAATTAGTAATCTCACTTCTGTGACTACCAATTTGTTTCTCAAATTATCGTTGTATGAAGTAAGACTTTAAACATTTGTGATTTGAAATATAAGAAATAATATATTTTGTAAATTATCGAAATGAATTCAGCTCTTATTCAGTTCTATTTTAAACCTTTACGTATTGTTTTGTTTCCAGAAACTAATATAACAACCAATTATTACTTTAATGTTATAAAGCTGGAAGGGAGTCTACATACATGTATCTCGTTCCAAAAATTTCTTGGCCCATATTAAGGAAATTTATTATCGGACCAGACGACTTTATTAAAGCAGTTAATATATCGGAATTGATCTCCCGTCGTTTACGTCCACTAGAACATTTCTCATTTACGTCCATTACGCATCTAAATTCATAACAAATATATGTTAAAAATTATCAAATGTAATTATAATCTATCTCAATGCAAAACAAATACAATTCAAATAATGTATCTTCAAAGGTTTCAATACTGTAACATTACATTGTATTCATTTGGTAGCATAAGTAGTCTAGAGTCAATTTTTATATTTTCTCTATCCTTATTCACATAGAGATATAAAAGGAAATATTCTGCTATAATTATAAAAATTTGACAAACCAATTTTACATACAGCCAATAATTTCAGGAATATGTAAACTTACATTATATAACATGTCGACACTCAAATACCAAAACAAAAATGAGAGCGAAATTATCTATATAACTTTATACCTTGCTGCATTATATAAAGTGCTTATCAACGGGTTGATTCTTGAAACAATACACCCCATAACCGTGTCCGACACAACTATTACAGTAACCTAAAAGGGAAAGAAACTACATGAGAGTTCTCCTTTATACCAGTCTGGTTTAGTGACTTGAGAATTTTAAAGTTTATCAAGAAAGTAACATTAAAATCTGAAACAAAATGAATTATGGTACTTATAGAAAGTATTAACATAAATTTTTTGTTGTTTTCTACATATAACCACAAATGTAACCGGTATAATTCGCGAAAATAATAATACACCCATTGTTTCAATAAAAATAAAATTCACAGTCAATACATTAATACATAATTATCAATACAATGTACATAAAGGGGCGTCCGTGGCCGAGTGGTTAAGGTCGTTGACTTCAAACCACTTGCCCCTCACCGCTGTGGGTTCGAATCCGACAGGGACTTTGGATTCTTTCATGTGAGGAAGCTATCCAGCTAGCTTACGGAACGTCGGTGGTTCTACTCAGGTGCCCGTTCGTGCCTGAAATAATGCACGGAAGGGCACCTGAGGTCTTCCTCCACCAGTAAAGCTGGAACGTCGCGATATGACCTATACTGTGTCGATGTGACGTAAAACCCAAAAAACAAAAAAACAAACAAACAAACAATACATAAGCTTTTACTTTATTTCACAGAAATGAAATTTGGAGCATACGGAAAAATGGTCGATTATTTTTATTGTCTGAAAACATAGACAATAACTGCACGTGGTCTTCTATCGCCCAATTTATAATACCGACTTCAATCTATAAACGGATATGCTCAACTGTATATAAAGATTAATATAATATCTCATGACCTTAGATACTCAACCCAAAGGATCGGTTCCGTCGGGAATGAGACTTGACGAGTTCCAAATGTAACCGATTACCCGAGAAAGGACACCAAAACATTTATGATACAAAAGAACAACTTGTTCGGGAAAAAATACATCAAACTTCTTACAGGAGTTTCAGAATTCCAATTCTTCCCTGCTATAGCGCACCCAGCTGCAGGATGAAATGATAAGATGCAATTTTCTATCAATGTTGATAAACAATCACATGTAAGCGTAGAAGTTCCGACATACCCAACAGACATCAAAGTACCATATGTACCATATGTACCATATGAAGGCCTACCAGTAGAATTCATACGCCCACAAGATGGTTCCGAGTTACCACGTATTAGCCTGATGAGAGCAGATCGTGTCTGCCTGTCTGGGCATTGATAATCGTAAATTAAAAATACATCAACACAAAACGATCCCGATCGCTCTTCTCTTTGATTACGCATTGTTTTGACAGGAACAACAATAGATGTATTAGCAGCTATAATTCCAATCATTTCAACCATCTGTAATATACAACCAAAGAACAATATCAAGAACATATTCATTTTAAATCAATCTTTTATCTGCGGTTTTTCTTCACACCATTTCGAAAGGTCAATTTATATTCACATCAATTGAAAGGTTATCATTCATTTCATGACAATTTCACATGAATTTGTACATGAACAAGAGGAAAATATATATTTGAATATGAATTATTAAGAATATATCTACAGTGCTAATATTTGAATTAACTTACCGAAGTGAAAGTTAGATACGGATGAGACGTTGGAAACGCAAATCTTACATTGTTTGCTTGAACCAGACCATGATTTGTAATAGTAAATTCGATTTCACTCGTTTCCTTTTGCTCCAGAGGTAACGTGTCAATATGAGATGGCTGTACTGTAACAACAGGCATTGGAACCTTGATATTTAAATAAGAAAATACAAATATCATTTACATTTACAAAACCGTCAAACTTTGTTTATATTTTATCGTTTCCATGCTGAGTGTGGTATATAAATCGCCAGATTTTATGTTAGTAACTATTGGATAAAGTTACATTAATTTACTACATAACTATCAGAATCGTAACACAGAATTCAATACACTGTATAAAAAACAACAGTGGACATTTCTTTATTATTTAAGATCTATTAAATTCATAAGGTATTTACATATGTTTCGAAGGTCGATTCCAAAGCAATGGTGTAAACATCTTTAAAAGTTGTTGCTTCAACTGTCCAAGTGTATTTAACAGCAATACGCGGCAGAAAGATTTCATGGTGTGATTTACTGGGGGAGATAAAAATAACAGCTCCGTAAGACGAATGATTTTCTGCCTCAACAAATATCGTGTACTGGTCTTCATAAACATTCTCAAATATTACAACACCTGAAAAATTATTTTGACAATCATTTAGATGCGCTGCTACGCCTTATTTACCTAAAAAGGTGAACATCTAGAAGGAAAAAAGCGTTCAAGACTCATTTACGCCAACCTTAATCTATTAAACGATCTAATGAAAAAACACTGTTAGACATGTTTAAGTATTTGTAAAAAATGAAGATGTCGTAAGGAAATCTTAATTAGTGGAATGTAAAAACGGAGGAGCTTACTTGTAGTTAATTGTTGTATGGAAATTTGCTCCTGACATACAATTACTGTATTTATAAGTTTTCTTTATCTTAAACGATTAAAAATATTGCAATTGTTTTAAAAATCTATCTTTGTCAGTTTTATGTTCCTCTGAAACACAAGTATGCTTGAAACTTATAATATACAAACCGATGGAACAGAAATACCAACGATAAGATAATAACTGTTTTCACAGTATTAGCGAACTGCTTGCTATTTGTTTTGAATGCGAAAATTTAATCAGACATACATTCAATGCATTACGTAAAATTGTTATCCTTTAATCTTTTTAACAAATTAGCATTGTCACAATCAAGTCAATAATTATCAGCTCGATTTATCACATTATCACACCAATGACTTCAAGATGAAAATATTTACCAGTTTCATTTTCTGTTGTTCTTGCTTCCAAAAATTCTCGTCTTGGATTTGAAAGTGTTATTGTTGCATTTGTTACAAGAGGAGATCCGATAGCGAAGTAAGTGTATTCATCTTTCACAGTAAATGTAACATTCGTTGTCTCCGTAGATGATATATAGACTGTGAAGGGCAGTCGACTTGAAGTTGATAAAGAATTAATATAAATATTTCCTGAAATTTCTCCTAATGAGTCACTTCCTCCAATAACAATGGCAATAGATAACAGCGCAGTGTCCTTTGATAAAATATCTGTATAATTTGAATCTGTTAACTTGTGTTTCTCTACCGTGAAAGACACAAGAGAAAATCTGGAGTCCGTTGGAAGACTTACAGATACATTTCTTGCAGAAACTTCTCCTACATTTGTAATGATAACATCTACTATCTTTATTGAACCTGGCATCACATCTACACGAATCAGATTTGGTTTTAATACGAGGATAGGTTTTTTGATATTGAGATTGATGTTTACTCTCATGCTAGTGTAAGTACCTTGACTTGATGTGAACAAAATATACATATATCCTTGGAAAGGTTTTGCATCCCGAATTACCAAATCAAAGGAGATACTGTCATTCATATTGAACTTTTGTATAGAAAATAATGTATTAATGGAATCTCCAGATTTCCTGACGAATGTTCCAGGAGGCCCATCAACCTAATATTACAGATATATTATTTAATGAGCATAATTAAATGATTACTACAAATATGTTCCAGCAAAAACGACATGAAATAAGGAAGAAACACATATGAATGATACTTTTACCTGAACAGTTTTGTTTTAAACATACACTGGAAAGGTTTGAAACTTTTCAACTCTATTCTAAATAAAAATGTCAGTTTATAAATGTCTTTACACTGTTGGTTATAAAACCACATCATTATGCTGAGATAATAATTTACATTTTTGGGTTTAATCTATAAATTTTAAAATTCTTACCCCCCCAAAAAGGCCAGTTATAAAAATGGTACCAATTTTTTAACCAATGTTTATTTTTTTTTAAATTGATAAAAAAAGTTTCATAGGGAAATATTTTTTTCCCTTTCAAAAAAGGGACTTAAAAAGGGGATTACAAAATCTTTTACCAAAGTTAGGGGGACCAAGTGATATTAAAATTGTCAACCCCTAAAAAACGGGTTCCCGGGTTTGGTCTGGGCCTCTGTCAAAAAAAAGGCCCATATATGTTGATGAAACGCGAAAATATATGATCACAATCAAAACTTACATCTCAAAATTTCTTATATACCAAAAGATTCACATATGAGCTGTAATTAAAGTATAGATGTTATTAGATACATATAAGTTCTGTTTAAATGATACAAATAAATTGCGACCATTTTTACATCCATTGACTGACTTACTGAACAATCCTTTAATAGTAGTTTTTATGTAATATTTCTTATAATGCGATTCAAAAATTGTGCGAGTTGAAACTATATGTATGATTCGTTATATTTAAAAAGTTTTACCACTGAAAATATTCCGGCATCGTCTGGTCTTGGGTTATAAATAGTAGTAAATGTACTCGGAAATAACTCATCTGATTTCACTTTTATAGATGTTTCATGTTTTGTTCTTTGACTAAATACGCTAAAAATCGAAGGAAAGTTAATGGTCAGATGTAAATACATATCTCGTCATAATAAACTCGATACTTGACAAAGAAAGCAATAAAAAAAAACAGCCGAACGATTAAAATTATGTAGGATCAATGAAAAACTGTAATACATGTATTTAAGGAATAGATAGATGTTTGATCGGATTTACAACAATTTATTACTGGTAAATATATCGTTTCTTTTCTCAAATTGTCACAAAAATTAACCAAAAAGACGTCAATACTATATCCAACATATTACATATCCATACATGTATTATATTTTTCTATTTAAATCATATTAATAATGCGAAAAATGGCAGACTTACATAACTTCAACTGGAACCTTTCGTGGTGTATTCTGCTGTCCAAACTGAACCATACCAAAAATCTTAACTGATCGAGGAAACGGCAAAATTCTTTCACTTGGTTCTATACGTTCTACACAGACACTGTGTACGAAAACACTACCATAATAGACGCATTTTGCAGACACTTCACTTATCATATTGGATGCTCTAACTTCTACAATATATGGTTGGGGATTTCGCAACGGTGATTGCCCATTGCCACTAGGCCTGTCTCCTCATCTACTGTCATTCCATGGGGACCACGGTAAAGATACCAACGTACTGGAAGGTCCCCCTTAACAAATTATAATAGTATACGTTTTTGACCACAACAAAGCAAGCAATGATGTATTTTTCATGCATAAATTTTCGGAAATGTATTCATGAAGTACATGTCGCATAGTTCCAGTATGATTTTATTATTCTATTTGTTTTCATTTGCTATCAGACTCTGACATTAGATAGAAAGTTTTGTAATGATTAGAATGAAACAAAATAATGTGCATAAAGGTTTAAAAAAGACACGTGAGGTTAATGAAAAATTTGGTTTATACAGAATTTATTTTAGAATCGATTGTGTAGGAAGCTTATAGACAAACTTTCAAATCTGTTCCTGGTACTAAGCAGTACTGAGCAATAAATGTAAAACTTCTTGCTCACAGAAACAATGACTTGCCCCTGAAGGGGTTTGAACCTACGCTGCTGCAATCCTTAAATCTCTAATCCAATGCGTTAAACCGCTCGGCTATGACGCCACTCCTAATGACAATTTATAATGAAATAGTATTTATATTATAACAAGGTCTTATTGTATCCACCTGTTTTAATTTAAGTTGCTGTGTGTAACTGTCTGATTCGTCTACAGTTTGTACATTCACAACGTCTACTAGAATCAGTGGTAGTATCTCCAAAGTACAGTTATCTCCCTTCCATGGCAAATAGCACGAACATGAATCGAACAAACAATAGCCACGTGAAGGAGTCATGTTACGACCACAGGACTCAGAGGGACAAGTTGAATAGTAATAAAATGTAAGCTGAAATTTCAAAAAAAATCTGATCTGTTACAAACAAAGGCTCATACTTATTTGTATAGTTTGATAATCGTTTTATTTGGAGTCCTTAAACAGTATCTTGCAATTATGTAATGATACCTTCCTAACATTATTAAATCTGTTGCCATGTTCTACATGTACTAGAATAAACAGTTAAACTTTTCTTAATAAGAAACGAACTATTTTCAATGTTCTTTAAAGGTTTATTTTCGTTTAATGGTGCACATTATATGTGTTTGTGTATTTCTGATGTTTAACTAAAAGGATAAACACATAATTAAAGATAGGACATATATTAAAACTCACTTTATCATTTGTAAATTCATTTCCCATCTTTTAAAATTATTTCAAAAAATCACCCCCCCTTCCCGGTTTTTGCGGGGGGGCGAGTCCCTACCACGGGGGATTTTTTGTTAACCAAATTTACCGTCTTTTTCTATATTTCCCCCAAACGAACATTTGAAAGACCTTTAAACCCATTTTTTTTGGAAGTTATGTCCCAATATTTTGCCTGCTATACCCCTTTTCTGGTCCATTTGCGGGGGAAAAATTTAAAAAATTTTTAAACTAAAGGTAAACAGTCTGGCCCCATAAAAGGGAAATCTTTAAACACTATCGCATAAGTACCCGGGCCCAAATTATTTCCCAGGGCATTCAACAAAAACCCCTTAAAATTAAAAAAAAAATAAAATTGAAGATAAAATATGTAGTAAATATTGCTTTCCCCCAATTTTAAACAAAACAAAGGTGCAAAAATTTTCTAAAAAGCTTTTAAAAATATAAATTTAAAAAATTTTTTGTTTTTTTCCTAAATTTTTTTTTATAGGTTTTTAATAAAAAACCCGATATATCAAGGACTTTTACACAACTTCCAAAAAAAAACAACATAAAATAAAAAAAAACGAAAAATAACTGGCATTTTATCAGTAGTTGTTTAGGCTTTTGACTTCAAAGCACTTGCCCCTGACCACTGTGGGTAATTTTCTTCCATGTGAGCTATCCAGCAACTAGTTGTTGCTTTGCTTAAAAAATTATGTCAGGGTGTTTTCTTATGTGTTTTTATTCTTATTTTGTGTTGTAAGTACAGTAATAATTCAGCAGTCTTATAAACACCTACATTGTGTCTCTCACGGACACTAACAATAACTTAAGCCAGAAAACAAGCACGGTACAAATGCAATATACAAATTTCTTTAATAAACTGGTACTTGATTATAGGTCAACTTTTGAAGGCAAGTATCAAATTAGTCACCACGTTCTAAGAAAAACCCGAAAAAAAATAATATCGATAAAACCCGCATCCTGCCATTTGTCATTTAGGGTAGCCAAGTCCAAGTATTTGTTTTCCATTTAAGATGTTACGTCGATTTCCTAAAATTGCCGAGCCCATATTATTCCCCAGGACGTTTTAAAAGTTTAATGAGAAATTAATCCTGCGTTAACACCGGATTGATAAAATAAAAATCATAGTAAGGAAACAATTTTTGCACAGTTGACTATTCCTCCCAAATAATGTTTTTTTCATAATTTTACTTTTAAAATTGACAAAACCTGGGGGAGAATGGAAAAAAGGGGGTTTTTTAAAAGGGGTGGCATTCAAGGGCCCCCAAACCCGGGTTTTAAAACCCTTTTTTTGGGAAAAGGGGGCCCCCCCCAAACCGGGGGGATGAGGGCCCCAACCCCAAGTGTTACCAGTCAACTTCACAGGGGAAACCCCTTAGTGCCAAAACGAAATATATTCGGGTTCGACACATAAGCCATGACCGCTACAATTATTTAACTGACTGAAATTGTTAAATGCGTCATTTCCATTAAATTGCAGAATAATGTCTACTAAAACGGATAGGGATCATCGTGTCTATCAACCTCGGGAAAACGGGAAAATGTGAACTGGTTAAATGGCCTTTTCAAATGATGCATGACATATAACCGTTCACAAAAACACCAGTATCTTACAATGTTACTGGTAAAGGAAACATCGGAAATATTTTTTTAAAAAAAAACCTTGTTTAAACTACTACCTTTATTTGCATAAACAAAGCTAGCAGATCCTTGATGTTTAAAAATGTAAACCGTTAATTGAAAATTGTGTATACAAACCCTTTGTAAAGCTATCAAAAAGAGTAAACATGGTTAAATATAGGATAAAATGATCACGAAAAGGTCAATGAAAAGTACCTTAAAATTAAGACAGCCAAGTAAATGGTGCAAATGAAGTTATTGCTATAGAATTAACTGGTTAAACAAAAAAAGTTTCACAAAGAAAAATTAGCATATGTAATAATCAATTTAAGGTTTCAAGAGTATGTTAACTTATACAAAAGTTTAACACTTTTTCTAGTTTTATGATATTTTGAAAATATAAAAAGATGACTTTAAAACTTCATACAAAATCTACCTGCATGACGCGGAAATGCATCGATTTCCATACCATCCATCATAACATGAACATGTGTTTGGTCCTGTACAGTCGCCGTTTCCATAACAATTGTTTACGTCACCACAACCAAAACTTTGGCACGAGTTTCCTTTCCAGCCTTAAAACAGGACACATAATATTGAATATTAGAAAGTCAATGGTTTTTAGGATCAAATTTTTTGCAAAAAAGATTTGTGGGGGAAATTTTAACACCCCCGTAAAACTTTT